TCGGCAAGATGTCTGAACATAGGACGCGAGTGTCGGGCTGGGGTAGAGGAAGTTATACCAGTAAAAACTATAGCATGAGAAATTCGAGGTACAGAAGCAGAGGAAGTGGTAAAACGTGGAACCGCAGCAGAGACAAGTGTTGTAGTAGGAACCGCAGCAGAGGCAACTTCCGTAGCAGGGACCGCAGCGGAGGCAACTTCCGTAGTAGAAACTGTATATATATACTTGTAAAGGGAATAGCGGGTCTCGAATAGCCATGTCCTACATCACCCTTTTCTCTGCTGGGCCCAGGGTTGCTGTGTGCGGTGAGAAGGTGGTTTCATATTTGTTCCTCATTTTGGGGGGATGTTCGAGTACAAGCACATAGCAGGCATTTGTCATTCTGTGGCAGATACTGTGCTTGACGTTTCCTTGTGGATCTAGCTGAGCTGGTGCACCCATGAACTGTTGAAATCAGGGCCCAAGTTCAAATCCAAACGGAACAAGATGAATGAAATCAAGTACTACTGAATTACAGTTCAACAATAATATGTCAAGGACACCGCACGTTTGGGAGAAAAAAGAAAAAAAAGAAAACGAGTACATAGACGGCACACTCTGAATATTCGTTGTTTACTGGTGGATGTGTGAATACAAGCACATAGCAGACATGCAGCTGGCGGGTAGGTTCTGTGTCTGGTTGTCTTTTTGAGTTGGATTCTGTGCGTGTCATTTCCTGATCGATCCTAGCTCAGAGCATACTCACACGAGCACAATCTGAAATGCATCTGACCGTAATTACGGCCCTACTTGGATGTAGCCGACTGCAATCCAGCCAGAAGTAAAAAAGCTAGTATGAGAGCGTACTCACACTAGCACTAACGTAAATGTATCTGACAGCATTTATGGCGGGACCTGTGTGCATCTGGCCGCAATTCCGTCCAGAAATAAGTAAAAAGGTGCCAGTGTGAGTATGCCCAGAGTACGCCCTCAGCTGGTACATGTTTAGATAACAGTACATAGCGACCACACCATTGGCAAGTTTTGTGTCCGTCTGAGAAGAAGACACCTGACTGTCAGCAACCAGGTCGCTTGCTGGAATCCAGGTGAGCTCAAGTTTTGTGTCCGTCTGAGAAGAAGACACCTGACTGTCAGCAACCAGGTCGCTTGCTGGAATCCAGGTGAGCTCACTCCAAAGGCCAAAAGGGATCCCAGACTTTCCTTACTTCTCGTCATAGGGTTCGAGCCCACATTGGCCTATCCACAGTTGATGGGTGCACCACTCAGCCACGCGGGCTTGGCTATTTTTGAATTTTTTGTGGGCTTCTTTTTGTTTTTTGGTACCACCCAGCCCATATAGCGTCACCCACATGCCCCGCACTGTACCGGCAAACGTACATGGTCCCATCCAGCCCACATACCATAACCGACCCTGTCCACTGCCGCTCAATCCACATTGTATCACCAGCACCAAAAAATACCACCCAAGCCAGTCCACATAGCATGACCCGCACCAGATATTGCCACCGGTTCGGAGTGCCCTGCACTGTGCCGGCCAGCCAATGTAGTGTCATCCAGTCCACATACTAACCCAACCCACATAGCATCACCTTGGCCACATAATACCGCCCAGCCTGCATAGTACCACCCAGTCGACAACGTATATTTCGCCCCAGATAGTGCCAACAAACCCACTTAATATCACCTAGGCCACAATGCACCACCTTGCCCACATAGTACCGATCATTCCGCATAGTATGACCCCCCCCCCCCCCCCCCCCCCCCCCCCCCCCCCCCATGATACAGCCCAACTCACATCCCACCTAGTCCTTCCCTATCCACATGGTATGACCCTAGGGTACAAACCAACCTGCATAGTATCACCTAGTGCACGGAAAATGAGCGATAGCAAACTTCAGAAATCAAACAGCATCATGCACATGAGACCACATAGCCGTGACCTCAAACCAATAGCAGAATCGCGTCACGAGTTCCACCAAATAAGAACACAGCAAAAACTCATAATTGACAATACTGGAATAGTCTCATCATCATTAACGAAGAACCAATGTCGATATCCTATCTGGCGCTCGGCGCCCAGACTACAGATGGAAGATCCTATCTAGACTAGTCTACAATGCCGCCGATGACGTCAACAGCTCTCCGAAGTACGAACAGATCTCAGCCAATGCCGTACGCTTCCAGCACCAGGTATGTCTCTCGTATCACTCACAACCTCGTTCCCCAACTCACAGATGCCACATGCACCCAAGGACCACCATCCGCCCCATCCAGCATACAGCAGCGCAGCTCGGTTATGGCTGCCTGCTCCTTCCAGCTCGCCCGTGAGCGCGTGAGCCTGGCCAGCGTTAGCGCAGCAGCGCTTGCGCAGCATGCAGCCAGTGCCCAAATGTCCAATGTGTGTGCAGGCCCTTTCCTAAATGGAAATGGCGTGCCTGCCTTGCGTGCAGCCTGGCTGCGCTGGGCCCCTGCCCAGAAGCTTCCGGTAGGCCCAGAGAGGCTCAGCCCCAGACCAAATGGATCAGGCCCAAGGCCTGTGACAGTTACCCGTGCCCAACTGCCCGCAGCCTGAGTTGGGTCCATGATGCGTATCTCGCCCAGGGCCTGACTCAGATGCGTTTGATGAAGGATGCCAGGGCCTGGGCGCTTTCAACCAACTGGCGCTCCGCAACTGCCTGAATTTTGCCCAGTTGCGAAGTAGTTCAAAACAGGCCTCTTGTGGTCTGTCGAGCCTGCCTTCACTTAGGGCGGCCAACACTGTTACAAATAGGTGCCCAGTAGGGCTTATCCTTATCTAGGCCTTGTGCCTCGCATTCCCTCCTCCATACTTCACTAGTCCTCTGGGAAGTTCATTCAATCTGGCCTTTCCTTTCTGCAATAACTTCTCATAGTGGGCGACAACCTGTGGAGCGGTCTGCATTAGTTCCTCCCGAGTGAACCATCTATCCTCCTTTGGATCAGTATGGTGTCTGAACCGAGCGCGGTACTGCTGCTTCGGCTTTGGAGGACGTCCCCTGCCTGAAGGTCTTGGGACCAGCATTTCCCTGTGGTCCACGATGTCATCGATGTCGACCTCTCCATCCATGGTTGGGGGCAGCATTGAGCGTCGCGAGGGGAACTGGTCAGTTTCCTTGAATGGTGCAAGCTTCTAGGCGTGAAAGACAGGGTAAGTGCAAAGGTGACCAGGGATCTGGACTACATGTGATGGACCATCCGGATCATCTCCGACTACATCCAGAACCTCCCCGGGACCAAAACACTGTGGCATGAGCTTGCGGGAGATCCCGTGCTCCTGTCCCAGTTCTGAAGACTTAACCCAGACCCTGTCCCCTATCTGGAATGTTGATGGGCGGAGGCGTTTGTTTTCTGATTCTATCATCGCTGCCTGTGCCTTGTGCATCTGTTCGACCGCCTGCTGCATCAGTTGTTTATATCGATAAACAAATTCTAGTGTGCCAGGTGCAGCAGTTGGCTGGTTCTCAGGCAGTGGAAAGTCTAGGGGCAGTCTAGGCTTAAAAATCAGTAGCAAATTGTTAGGGCTCACCCCAATGGCGCTGTGCACAGCATTGTTGCCCAGGCTGGCGATGAGAGCAAGTTTCTCATCCCAGTCCACCTGATTGGTCTTGATGTAGTGCCGCAACAGGTGTTGTACAGCGCGGATTAACTGTTCTTCTTGCCCGTTTGCCTTTGGATGGTTTCCAGATGTCATCTACAGCTGTGTTCGTTGTTCTGCAGCTGCGGCCTTCCGCAGCGCACTCGTGCATTCAACATCCCGGTCGCTCACAATAGACTTTGGCAAGCCAAAATCCCTGACCCAGTTCTCCTTAAACAGCCTAACGACGTACTCGGTCTTTGCTGTCTCTGCATCGCAACAAACCTAGCGTGCTTACTAAACCTATCCACGATAACGAAGATGTGTCTCATTCCACTCTTGCTGGTGACCAGCGTGTCCATGAAGTCCATGGACAGGCTCTCACCGGGCCTTTCCGAACTCGGAAGGGGGTTGAGAAGCCCAAGAGGGGCCTGTGTACATGGCTTGTCTCTCTCACAAACCTGACAAGTCTCCACGTACAGCTTGGCATCTCTCATCATCGTGGGCCACCAGAACTGCTGCAGCAGATTGGCTGCAGTCTTCTTATATCCAAAATGTCATGTGCCACATGATACTCTCCTAAAAATAAACAACGCAAAGACTCCCGATTAGGCACACACAAACGTTTATTCCCGGCCTTCTCAAGGAACAGCAAGTCGTTGACCAACTCAAACTCGGAAGAAGTCACTTTGTCCTTCGCCGCGAGTCTGCGAATGATCTCAGACATAAACGCACCCTCGCGATAGGCTTCCACCAACGAGCGAGTGACATCGTCCGCAAACCCAAACTCAGTGATCACCGCACCGGAGAAGTCTGGCCTACGCGAAAGCGCGTCAGCAACTTTGTTCTACTCACGTTTGAGATACTAGGGCTCGAAGTCATACTACTCAATGACTTCGATCCAGCGTTTCAGCGCAGCAGAGAGCACAGGTTGAGTTCTCTCATCCACTTTAGGGTCTGATGATCAGTCCTGACGATGAAGAACCTCCCAAGGAGATAGTGCCTCCAGTGAGTTAGCGCTTTATAAATCGCTTACAACTCCTCATAGATGGACTTGGCCAACTTCTAAGAGGGCATCTTTTTGGACATGTACTCCACTGGCCTCAACTTTGGCCCCTCCTGCTGCACGAGCACGGCGCCTATGCCATATTGGCTAGCATTCATGGTAACTATAAGCGGCTTGTCAGGATCAGGAAGTTTCAAGATCTCATGGTGTGTCAACGCATGCTTCAGATGTCTGAAAGCAGCCTCACACCTGTCTGTCCACTCCCATGGGGTGTCAAGGCGAGTTAGGTCCGTCAAAGGGGCGGCAACTATGCTATAGTTCTTCACAAAATTGCGAGAGTAGCCAGTCATCCCTAAGACTGACCTCATCTCAGTCACAGACTAAGGTCGCGGCCAGTCACGAATGATGGCCACCTTCGCGTCATCGGGCTTCAAACCCTCCGCGGAAATCTCATAACCCAAGTACAAGATCCGGATGCGACCAAACTCGCATTTCTCCCCATTGATCTTGAACTTATGCTGTCAAAGGAGACTGAGGACTTTCTCTAAGTGCGTGCTCCTCAACAGTTCCTCTAAAAATAAGTATGTCATCGAGGTACACGATGACAAACTTATCCAAGTAGTCATGAAAGATCCGATTCATAGCGTGCTGAAAGGTGCCAGGAGCATTGCAGAGGCCGAAAGGCATCACCACAAACTCGTACAGACCGTACGTGGTCTGAAATGCAATTTTGTGTTGATCCTCAGGCCGTATTGCAATCTGATGGTACCCGGACTTCAGATCTATCTTACTGAAGTACCGACACCCTTGAGAGATCTAGCAAATCATCGATGCGCGGTAGGGGCTCTCGGTTCTTGACAGTATGGCATTGAGGCCCCTATAGTCAATGCACATCATCAACATACCCCCCTTCTTTGGCACAAATAAAACAAGCTATCCGTAAGGGGAGACACTCGGCCGAATCCAACCCTTCTCTATGAGTTCCTTGAGCTGTCGGGGAAGCTCATCAAGCTCGCCTGGAGACATCCAATAGATCCTACCCTTTGGGATGCTAGACCCTGGGATAATCTCTATCGCGTGGACGACCTCCCTCTCGACAACCCCTGTCGGCTCTTCAAATAGATCAGGGTACTTGGCAACTACTCCCTCTATCTCCAGCGGCATTTTCATCGGCTTGCCTGCTGCAAAGACATAGGCTAGATACATACCCTCCTCTGGATTTTGCTTATAATAGTTATAGAACACGGCCACACACATGCATCCGTAGGACTCAATCAGACTAGTAGCTTTGAACTTACGTAATTTGGCGGTCCCCCCACCTGGCAAAGTGTGTTTGACCACTTTTCGGTGCCAGTCAAACTGGGGTTGTGCAACAGAGAGGCAGTTTATACCTAACAAGATATCCATAGGGAGATCATCACTCACTAGGCACGAGACGCGATGTCTCAGTTACCCTCGCGCGTACGGAAAACAACACTCAAAGTTTTGTAGTTATCCATGGACTACCATGCGTTGTTTGTTGGCACAAGTCGACTCCACAGATCGACTCAGGCGCTACACTTGCTCCTGTAAGCACGGCCTCTCAACGCACGCTGTCGCACTTTTTCTAGTCAGGCCTCTTCAGGCGACCATAAAGCCAACAGGCTGTCACGCAGGATTCTGTAGGTGTTTGCGATAAATAAAATAAATTAAGTGAAGCAAATCCCTTCCTGTTGTGTGCGTCCGGCTTCGAGCCAGACCCTTCAATTGCGGTCTTCGCCGGTCCCCGGTCTTAGGAATCTTTTACTTTGATTCAGAACAGCAAAGAATCATGCAGATAATAATCATAGAATTCCAACATGTCATGCATGCATTCATCTACTATCTTACTAATTTTGAGAACTGCGGCAGAATCATCAAAGAGAAGAATGCAATCATCAAGCAAGGCAATGCAAAGAAGCAAGACCGACTGACTTGAGCAATGACAAGGTTAGTGAGGGAAGAATGAAAACTCATGATAGTCTCAAAGAGTACACATGAAAAGAGCATGGCCAGCACTAGTATCGAGTCCTCGCTCATCCCTCTGGAACACTCTCAATTCCTCATCCTGTTGTATGTCTCTTGTGCTTCATGTCGTATCTCCGTACTCTCTGAGGTTGTGGTCTCTGTATATAGAGTCACCTGAAGCCTGCAAGCTGTGAGCATTTCCATCCAAGGTTCATGACACGAAAGTCAACCATAGCACAGAGTTCCTCCCATAATGTGGGTAGATATGGCTGAGAGAAGATCCCCCGTCTGAGATGAGGGAACTCGGAAGGCTCAGTCACAGACTCGTAGTCGATCACTGCTGGAGAAATGTACCTCTTGGCTAGATCTACCAGGTCACCCCAGCAAGAACCGTCTGTGAGAGTGAAAGGTATTGGGGGCTTGGGATAGTCGGAGTAGAGCTTAGGTCCAAAGTTGCGGATCAGCTTGGTACCACTCTCATCTAACTCCTCCCTTTCTTCAAGGTGCCTTGTTGCTGCAATCCAGACTGAGTCAAAGTGCTCATGGTTTCCTTACCCCTCTTGACATAAAGTCTCAAGTCGTGAATAGTACCGCCTGTAAAATTGGTAAGAACGACATAGATTGTCAAGTTACTTTGCATGAAGCCAGTGGCACTGACATATCTGTACTGG